AGGATAAGAGCTGTGGTGCACGTATTAATGCTCGTCTACAGTCAGGGAGTTCCGCAGTGAAGTCCTCCAACGCATCAGTTCAGAGCGAATTGCAACTGAAGGGCAGCAATTTGACGATGGTGCCATGATCTCTAAAGCAGACATTAAGTAATCCACGCGGAAATTGCTCCGAACCGGTTTCCATTTCTGTCGGAACCTTAGCCTGACTCCTTGCACACCCGCCCTGAAATTCATCCTGCAGAATGACTGTCAAAAAAAAAAATCATGAACCCATCTCACCAAATCCACCTCCATAGATCCAAATGATGACCACCACGACACTGCAACGATCCCTCAGGTTTTTTTTTGTTTTTTTTCAAAAAAAAAACTCCGATCGCCCGTATCACTGGACTCATTTATCCTACGCCCGAAACCCACCAAAAACCCATCGTCCAGTTGACACAGTTTCACGGGGGCGACATGATCATCTCAACGCTGTAGCCAGTAAAGGCCATAACTGAGAGGGTTCTAATCTGGTCCGGGCGTTACCAACAAACTCCCCTGTACCCCAGCCCCTTTCCCCCTAATTTTCCAAATTTGCGAAACAACAGGGTTTGTTTTTATCGCTGCGTACATTCGACGAAGGGGAAAAAGATGTGCTAAAAAACTAACTGGGGTTGCGGTCATTGAATGCGTGAGTGTGAATCGGATCTCAGTCCCCAGCTGTGTCATCTCCTTGCGAGGTCAGCTTTCGCCAGCACACAGCCAGGCCGCGATTGTCATAACCCCCACCTCCCTCTCCTCCCCTACTCTACCCTACCCTACCCTACCCTCTTCCCTTCTGCCTTTCAATGTCCCCCCCTTCCCTTCTGGGCCACCACCGTATGTGACAGGTTGGGGTAATAGAGACAAACTGCAGTAATGCTGCCCAAATCCTGCAATCCCTCACCTCCCACACACACCCACCCGCACAGTGACCAACTTCTTCCTCCCTTCCTTCTCCTTCGTCCTTTTGCCGTTGTTTCCTGTGAGGATTTTTTTAGGGCTTTCTGTTTTTTTCGATTCTTTTGATGGGGTAGGGGCAGGAGGGAAACCAAAATTTTCAAAAAAGGGGGGATCCGGAAAATAATATTAAGAAAGGCGAGCCGCCCATGCCCGGATTGGGGCCCTACAGACAGAAGAGGTGCAATCAGCCAGACAGACAGACAAATTGGGTGTGGGAACACACTGAGGCTCTCGAGTGAGGATTATTATATTTGGAGGGTAATTTCTTTTTTTTCTGTTTCCATCTTTGAAATTTTTTGGGGGGTCATAAATAGATTGAATAAATAAGATCCATTTCTGGTACGTTATCTCTCTCTCTTCATTCTTGCTTTGCCCATGAGGAGGAGCCCTCATTGCCAGTGTCTGGCTTGCTTTGGATGCTGTCAGCAGAGTGCAAGTGAGGAGGGGGGGGGTATGGCATCCATTCCTTGTCTGTCTGATCATGTTTCTTTTTTCTGTTGTTGGAGAATCCATCGCCTTTGTGGCATTCCTTACCCCCCCCCCTCCCCTCTTGAATCCTGCCTGCATTTCTTGCTCTGGAGACTCTCCCCCCCTGCCCCTACATTTCCAGTATAGAAAGGAGGGGCAGTTAGGAGAAAATAAGTTTAGTTTTCAGTAACCAGAGTTAGGGTATACTGTGGTGAACAGCAAAGTTAGTTTCCTTCTCCCACTTGAAACCCTATTCTTGTTGGTGTGCAAAGTGACATGGACCAAACTGGTGTTGTATATTTTCATCCCCTTGTGCATGCAAAGCTTTTAAGGGGAAAATCAACTTGTTTTGGCAGTTTGTGAACAGTGTGAGATATTGGTGTGTTTTTTTAATGTCTGGGCATGTGCACCAGGAGATCTAGAAAATAGCATAAAGCCTCTGACTGAATAGACCTAAATCAATGACTATAATGACATCAATGAATAAATGAGATATATAGCCACCATCCAAGGTAATTTTGCAACAATGGGTGACTCACACATTACCCCCACATAAGACAAAACAAAAACGAGATATGAGCATTACAATATTAGGATATCTCAGTACTGCACAGAATAGGTGTTATCTTGTTATTTATTGGGGGGTTTATCAGGTATCACCCAGACTAGGTCATGAGTCACTATATGTTAGGGTTTGTAAGTATTACACAACTAACTTGATGCCATGTCCAACCATGCTCATTGGTAACACAGTATTTCTCCCTAATTGCTAATGTCCACTTTTTCTGCCACTTGGTGGAAGTTATCAGAAGTCCCAGACCTTGCACATGATGTTAACTTGTTGTCTTAAAATATACAAATAAGTAAAGATATGTTTCTATTTTATTTTTTACTGGGATGACTTACTTTTGTGTTTGTGACATGTGCTCAAAGCAAATGACACCATAACCGCCTTAAATGTGATTCTAAAAAGGAAAGATTTATGAATGCTAAAAAAAACATATATTTTATTGTTTTTTATTTTTTTCCCTACTCCCCCTACAAGCAATTAAATAGTAGAAGCCTAGCCACTATATACAACCCAATTACTGAATCAACACAATCTGATATAAAGAAATACAATAAAATAAAGGGAATGATAAAGTGATGCAAATTTTTACTTAAGCAACTCACTCTATCTCATGCATCATTGCACTCTTGGAGCCCCCATTCCTCTTCCTAGCCATTTCTTGTTCCCAACCATTGCTAGGGATGAGAGCGACAGTTGGGAACAAGGGAACAATTGGGAATGAGGCATGTGGGTTGATTTTGTAAAAATTTGGGTCACTTTTTCACTTCCCTAAAATAAAATAAAAATCATTTGACAAAAATCCTCATCTCTTGAAACCTAACACATGTGGTACATGCACCCCCTACTTGTATCATACATGTTCACACAAATAACGTAATTAATAATATTAACATTATTTACCACCATAGAAATATTTTCTACTGAATTCCACATAGTTACCAATGTTTCCTTTCTTATATTATCACAGGAAGAAGGTGAGATATGGCCCCGAGCCATATCAGACTTTCACCTTTGAGCCAGGCAGAGGGCGTTAAGTTCAATCCAAACAAACCCTGCATAACAGGTTGGCAAGGACATGGTGGGCTATGGGTCTCAATGATTTTGCAGTCCCATGGGGGGTGGGGCAGAGACACTGTAAGAATTGGCCCCTTCCCATGGAAGATAGCAATAAGGAAAGAAAAGAGATATGACTTCATTGTTAGAGCTGGTGTGGCATTGCCCTCAATAGGGCAGACCATGCAACAGCATTGCCCCAGACATGCCACCAAACACTCCCCCTCTTCAGCACCCCCCACCCCCCATTCCCTTTTGGATGAATGGATATGTTCCTCTCATCTGTAGCACTTTTGAACTATCATTCATCCTATGACTCACTTGAAGCTGCTGTTACACTTTCAGGGCTTTTGTTGCTCCTGGCCTTTTATCAACATAACTAGGTGTGTGCTGCCACCTCACCAGTGTAAATGCTGGATTCTGATTTTGAAGAAAACTAGGTGGAATTCATGATTTTATGCTCAGCACTTGTAGGATGGTCATACTAGAGGCTTTGATCATGGGCTTTGCTATTGTAGGGCTATGATGGAATATTGGTGTTGGTGCTTGTCCCTTTTTTCTTGTTGAGGTTGCAATTCTTAGCTCATGACTTCATGACACATGACATATTGCAATGGCTGTGTTGAAATGAGCATAGCGATGTGATGGAAGGGGAAAATTATGTATGAAGTAAATAAAAATCAATGCTTTCCAGTAGTTTTGTGTCATGGAAGGGATGGGGAGATGGATTGACATGGGTAATAAAAAGGACTTTGGTATTTGTACAAGTCATTCTTAGCAAGTGTGTGTGTATATATATATACCTTTAGTTTTCTTCATTTAATTATCAGACAGTCATGTTCCATTGACCATGTTAGATGCATTTTTGGAATAGTTGTCCAGGACCTTGGGCTTGTCTGGATTTATGATTTATTTATACATACGCTACTATTTTTTTGTCATAAGATTAACCCTTGGTTCCCTTTGTATATAGAAATAGCTGCTATTGTGATCATTTTGGCATGGAACATGTTTGCTAGTCAACAATGTAATACAAATTTGAATCTACAAAAATGGGACACCAAACAGCATATTTTTCTGGTCAATTCCTGTAATTGCCATTGAAAGGTTATTTATACTTTGCTTTAATATAGAAAAAATGAAGTGTTATGCAGTCTGATTCTAGCTGTTAATTTGACAAGTCTTGTTTTCATGTACACCAATAGCCAAAATATACAGTTGATGTGAGATAATTCATCCTCTATTTTGCATCCAATAGATGAAATCCTATCACACAGAAATGCTGGATCATTTGTAAATTTTGGTCCATGTTATTTCCAATAAAAAGTGTGCATTAGAACCAACACTCTTCACAACTTTTCAAAACCTAACACAGATCAGGCACAGCTGTTAAAACTGGTTCCTCATGGCAAATGGGGAATGCTGTGGATGTTTCAATATATAAATAAATAAATAAATAAATTTCTTCCCAATAAAGCCAAGCACAAAAGGATATAAACTAGAAGGGCAATGGGAGCGTTTGTACCCACATTACGTTTTTACATTTTAATATTCATTTATGCTCTTTTTTCATTATCTTTTTCTTTCTCATCCACATATCACTCTCATCCAACCGCCAACAAGGTTCAGTTCTTCAACGCAATTCATTCGTCGTCTACGAATCCAATATACGGCACTCCATATCCACACGAAAATACTTCTTATCCCGAAGATATGTACATATACTCATCCTGGCAGCATTGGTCAGTATCCAGTCTATGTCTGGACTGACAGAGCGTCACACGGATGACGCCTGGATGAAGAAGGCGATGAGTGTGGGTGATCAGAGGGGAAGTGGATGAGACACAGGAGATGAGACACAATGGATGAATGAAGATACGAGGATGGATGAGGCTGCCCCCCATGATGATAGAGGGAGGAGCTTACACAAAGTGCAGGAGAGAGAGAGCGAGAGGACTCGAGGGTTTGAGGTGCAGAAGAAGAGCCCCCCGCCATAGCCACTACAAAGCATACGCTGCAACTCCACAGTTAAGCTTAGCTTGCGAGTTACCGAGTGTCGAGAGTACAGCTACTTTTGCCTCTGGAGTTCCACACCACAGGAGAGCGCAGAATCAGTTCCCTGGTCTCGCGACGAGGGTCGCTGTACAGTCGCTTACTGTGAGGTTTCGAAAAACGGAACAGGATACTGGAAGCGTTTTGGCTGGGGAAGGAGTGGGAATACGGTTGTCGCGAAGGGGTGGCTCAAAGGCTGACTGACTGCAAGTGCTTTTTGAAACTAAGCTGCCACAAGTCGTGGCGCGGTTAAGTGCAGATAGGTGGTGCGAGGTCGTGGAAGGTGGTGGTCCAGTTCACAGCGGAGCTTGACTCGGCGACTGAGGGGAGGAGACGGAGACGGTTCGAAAGAGTTGGAAACGAGGGCGTTCCATTGCCTTTGACCTAGTCGTAAACGTGGCTGGAAGTTGTAGGTGCGTGGTCTAATCCTGAATGTGTTGTGATTGTGCGAGAGAGTTAGTGTAATCGGTTGCAGTTGGTGTATTGACTGTGAAGACAGTGTGCGACGACGATTCACTCCGACCAGACAATTGTATTTCTGTACCCCCCCCCCCCCTGCGTACAATTGGTTGGTATAGGTGAAGTTACGAAGTCTACTACAGGCTGAAATAATAGTGCCGAGAATCGATGCACGAGCTCCCACTCCGCTGTGCACTTTCGCGATATGACAATGGATTGTGTGATAAGACGTAACATTTCTTCTGGAGCTTCTGCGTGTGTAATGCAGAGGCTTGCGAGTGCCGAAGTCGTGGGAACAAACTCGGCCTCCTCCGGAATGGCTTAAGTTGTGTTAATATATTTCTTCGTGTGCTGAAACTCTGCACTAGTGTATGAAAACAATTTCTATTGGGAAGTTTGTGCGGTATCGTTGAAGTCCGCGACAATGCAACACAAACTTTTTGGATATTTCAGACTAGAGCTGTATTTCGTATAACACGTTCTTGAATTAGTGGGTTAATGAAGGGCGAGAGTATGACTCGTTGGTTAGCGTTTTCGTAACGGGGCTCTGATCACCTTACCATCAATAAATCTCTTCCTCATGCAGGATGAGCTGGAAGCCGCATGGTCCACGTCAACGTCAAGTTCTGGACGAACATGCCTGCAGCTTAGGGAAGAGATAATGAAGTTTAGCAACGAAGTTGTCCACAAGTCTATGAACATCACCGAAGATTGCAGCGCCCTGACCGGTGCGCTGCTGAAGTACTCAACCGATAAGTCAAACATGAACTTCGAGACCCTTTACAGGGATGCAGCTGTAGAGTCCCCTCAACATGAAGTCAGTAACGAGAGTGGCAGCACTTTGAAAGAGCATGACTACTTCGGTCTCTCTGAGGTATCGTCCTCTAACAGCAGCAGTGGCAAGCAGCCGGAGAAGTGTTGCAGAGAAGAGCTGAACCTGAACGAAAGTGCCACTACGCTGCAACTCGGCCCTCCTGCGGCAGTGAAGCCGTCTGGTCATGCGGATGGGGCCGATGCACACGACGAGGGTGCGGGTCCAGAGAACCCCGCGAAGAGACCCGCACACCACATGCAACAAGAGTCTCTTGCAGACGGGAGGAAGGCTGCCGCAGAAATGGGGTCTTTCAAGATCCAACGCAAGAACATTTTGGAGGAGTTCCGGGCCATGAAGGCGCAAGCTCACATGACGAAGTCTCCAAAGCCTGTCCACACCATGCAGCACAACATGCATGCATCCTTCTCTGGTGCACAGATGGCGTTCGGTGGGGCTAAGAACAATGGTGTGAAGCGAGTCTTCTCTGAAGCTGTCGGAGGAAATCACATTGCAGCGAGTGGTGTGGGCGTGGGAGTTCGGGAAGGGAATGACGATGTGAGCCGTTGTGAGGAGATGAATGGAACAGAGCAGCTGGATTTGAAGGTGCACTTGCCGAAAGGCATGGGGATGGCGCGGATGGCACCAGTATCCGGTGGTCAGAATGGGTCAGCTTGGCGTAATCTGAGCTTTGACAACATGCAAGGTCCTCTGAATCCGTTTTTCCGCAAAAGTCTAGTGAGCAAGATGCCTGTTCCGGATGGTGGTGATTCATCGGCGAATGCCAGCAACGACTGTGCAAATCGCAAGGGGATGGTTGCATCTCCCTCCGTTCAGCCACCTCCTGCGTGAGTTTAGCGCACCGCCTGTAGGGCCATTGAGCATGAGATGGGGGGGGGGGTTAATTGTTGATTTGAGGTTGTTGTAGACCATGGGAGAGTGCGTTTTGTGATTGACGGTGATGTTTGGGCATGCAGGCAGAACCAGACTGTGGGTTGGCCACCCGTGAAGAACTTCAACAAGATGAACACGCCTGCTCCTCCGGCTTCGACCCCTGCTAGAGCTTGTCCGTCGGTGCAGAGGAAGGGCGCTTCGACGTCGTCGAGCGGGAACCTTGTGAAGATCTACATGGATGGTGTGCCGTTCGGTCGCAAGGTTGACTTGAAGACGAACGACAGCTACGACAAGCTGTATTCGATGCTGGAGGATATGTTTCAGCAGTACATCAGCGGTAAGGGCGTGGGCGTGGTGGTGGCATGCAGTTGGTGGGTATGTGAGTGATTTGCAGATGGAGATGGAGATGCGGATGAGGAGAGTGAGTGGGTTTGTGGATGCGTTAGGGAGTGACGTGGTGGTGGCGTGGATGGTTTGCAGGGCAGTATTGTGGAGGTCGGAGCTCAAGCAGCGGGGAGAGTCATTGGGTAGCGTCGAGCAGGAAGCTGAACTTTCTGGAGGGGTCGGAGTACGTGTTGATATACGAGGATCACGAGGGAGACTCGATGCTGGTCGGAGACGTGCCTTGGGAGTAAGTGGCTGTGTGGTTGTGGCAGCAGCGTGCGGAGGGTGATGGGATGTATGTGGAGGGTGGGTGGGGGATGTGTGGCTGATGGATTGGGGGGGGGGTGTGATGTGTTCAGGTTGTTCGTGAATGCTGTGAAGAGACTGCGGATCATGAAGGGTTCGGAGCAGGTCAACTTAGGTGAGCGTGGTGATTGAGGAGACGTGGGTGCATGGTGACGGAGTGTGTTGGGGTGGGGGTGGGGGTGGGGAGTGGGTGGAGAGGGAGGGAATGACGGCAGGGGGCATGTGTGATGGTGATGGCGATGGTGAAAATGAGACGAGGAGTGGTGAGCGTGGACATGGGAAGAGATGTTGATTTGTGGTTGATGTGGGGATTGCAGCTCCGAAGAATGCAGATCCGACGAAAGTGCAAGTGGCGGTGGGGTGAGGAGATTGCAATGGCGGGATGTGCGAGCGTGGAGGGAAGGGGGTTGGGTGTGCGCGTGCGCACGTGATGTGGGGTTGCAGTGGTGGCTGTTGCACCCGGTGGAGCAAGAGAAAGTGAAGGCGGGTGCATCATTTTTCATTGATCGGCAGTCGTGGAGGAAGGCGAAGGGGGCACAGTGGCGATGGATGTCAGTGTGGAGCGTTACATAAAGTCGGTGGCGGGAGGCGGCCGTTTTTTTTAAAGAAACTTTATTTATCTTTATTTTTTTTATTTTTTTGGAATTTGCAATGGGAAAGAAATTGGAGTTAGAATATTTTCTCGATTCGCGTATGTGGCGGGTTCGGGGTAGGATGGGGGACATACTGGGGGGCGGTAGTGTGGAGGCGGAGGAGGAGGATGGAAGTGTAGATCCCGAGTGCATGGGTGGAACGGTGTGCAGTGCGGGACGTGCTGTATTTTGTAGTTTCCTGTTGTGAATGTTATTTATTTAAGCCTCTCCGCAATGCGTTGCGTTGGGTGGTTGGGCCGGCGGGCAAGCCGGGTGGGCTCGTGATGCAGTGTAGCATTTTGGGTGTTGTAATTAGCCTTTGCTGCTCTATGGTTTGTTGTCTGGTAGACGAGATAAGTGTGGCAGCCGGAGTCTGTTAGCAACGGCCTGAGGAAGCGTGCCATCGTCCAAGTCTGTAGGAGTATGGAAGAGTGGCGTAAGAAAGATAAAGAAGCAGTAGTGGGAAGAGTGGTGGTGGTGGTGGTGGTGGAAGGGTGGTATCCAGCCAGGGCGTGGATGGGCGAGCATTGTGGGTATATCACTCGCAGAAGAAGCGCATGAGGCAAGGTGGTGAAAGGTGTTGTGGTGGAGACCTTGGTAGGGGTGGGGGTGCTTATTGTCAGATAGGCTTAGTTTGGCAGTGAGTTTGGCAGGAGGGTATGTAAATGGTCATTAGAAAGCGAGCCCTCTATGTTCTTTGGATACATTGCTCTTCCATTTGCCGTGGGTAGCTGTTTTAGGAATGCCTGTCTAGTGAGTTTTTTCTGGGAAGGATTTCATGATTGTAAGTATTTTACGTTTAACTAATATTTTTTTAGAGATATTTGGTGCTCTTTGAAGCAGGATTAAGTTTGCAGCATTTATGGTTGAACTACTCTTCGCTTGGTTCATTTATGGCTTGCCTGCATTGTCGTGAAACTTGTAACCATGAATGGAACTGTTTTGGTTTTGCATACCTGGCTGTAGACAGTCTTGATTTTGTTAGTAGATGGTCGGTGCAGATTTTTTTTTTTTGGTGTAGCTGTTCTTCTATGCGATCCGTTCGAGTCGTGGCTGGTAGCGTTAGTGAATCATCAACCCCGCTTGTCTGTGATTTTGTGCAAATTTTGGTAAGGAGCATGTGTGTCTCCTTCAATTTCTTGGGTTCATTTAAGAGTTCTAACGTGCCCTTAGTTGTCAGAAATATTCTGGTGGCGCATCCGTGTTGTGCACATTAATATCCTGGCTGATGTAATCCTGATATTTTTGGAGACCCAACTGGTGCAATGGATTGCCGTTGATTGTTGTGGTGGTTATGGTTTATTCCTAGGTCATGGTTTATTACCTTATGTCTGAAGTTTTATTCTACATTTTCGCGTCAGAGTATGGCTTCAAAATACTCTTAAGCCGTATTTTGCCTCATTTTAGGTGCTATGTCATTATCAGCCAGCGCTAGTCTACTTCCAGACCAACTAAACATTGAGCCCAATCAGAATCCTTCGTAGTGGTGATAAGAACTTAGGGTTTGAGTTGAGCTGTCGAGAGGAAGTCCTCGTGTGGCACCGGATCATATTATTCCGACCCTCAGTACTAAAAGCAGTCTCACTGGTATTTTTGGTGTTCATTTAACCCCGTGCATTACTTTGTATTTAGGTCCTTTTTTGTATTTGGATCTAAACGATATTGGACCTCAGTGTAAAGTCATGCATAGTTTGCACATAAGTGGTCTTTAAATTTTAAGCTTATCTCTCAAAATGTTCTGAAGTAGAAATACTTTTTGAATTGTCTTAGTTTCATTGAAAATGGTCCAAAGGGCTGTTCATTTTCCACATAATTTTGGCTTCGAATGATGGTTAAATTATTAGTTCATTCTTAGTTTTTAGTTGTGTGTGTATGGATTCACCTGAATCCACCACAATTAAAATTAATTGTATGCAATCTTGTTTTGTGTGTGTGTGTGTGTGTTTGTATGAAACCATATACTCATTGTTATGATCTCTTTGAAAATCCGGAAGATGTATGCATGTATGTTTTGCTTTTGTGCTAAATTCCCATATGGATTTATCTTGTGTTCTGGGCATTTATCATTTTTGGTAAATGATACCATTTAGAAAATAAATACTAATATCTATATGGAGTGAGAGTTGTAGATGTGAAATGTGTTTTGAGCAATATCATTATGAATAAAAAAATAATAGCAAGATAGATTATAAACCATTCAGTCATGGTAACTTGTGTCGTAATGCATTGTGTTGATGTATTTAATTGCTATCCATCAAGCACAATGGATTGAACAATGTGTTGGATTTGTTAATACACAAAATGATGTCAATGTAAATCAAAGAGCAAGTGTGATGAGATGAGATAGAAATGATACGATTGACTTAATCACAACTGAAGTTTGAATGTGTCACTGTTTGTTGCAAACAAGTTGACAAGACTAAGGGGAAAAAAATATAATAATAATAAATTGTGTTGTCATACTAATTGGTGCAAAATAATTACTCCCATATTAGAAATTATAATATTTTTCTAAATTTTTAAGAGATGATATGCAATTAAAAATAAATAAACTTGAAGTCATCATCCAATATACCTTCCTATCTGTGCAAGATACAGCATGAGTTTGTGAAGATAAGAAAATAAGCATTCAATATACTTTGTCAACACTGCACAAATGCTAACATTGTCAATTGCCTTCAAATCTAATTTTCTACTATAGTTATTTAAAGCCGTATCTTTCTTTGTTGTCAGTTTTATTAAAGATTATGTATGTACGTACATTTACTACAGAATCATTTAATAAAACATTTATCCTATTGTATGATATATATACATTATTTATTTATACATTATTCATACCTCATTGGTTGTTATCAAAATAAACAAATATTGTTTAAATTGATTACATGTTGCAGTTCATTATCTAGGATTTGTATTTTTGATGACTTGAGGACCATGCTATTGTGTATACCAATCAACTGATTTTTTGCACAGCTGAAACAAATGGTCATTCTTGATGAGGCTTCAGATGAATTCAGACAATCTGTTCCTTTGGCAATGTTTTTGGCAATGTTTAGGGCTGTGTGGCTGTTCTTTGCCATGACATGTTTTTCAATTGAAATACAGTTTTAAATATTTTAAAGTCATTTGTATGATATAGTTGTGCTTTTTTCCTTCTCTGTTTTTTTTTTTTTTTTTTTTTTTTTTTTTGGTTCCCCTTTTTTTCTTCCTTCCATTCATCTCAACAGTAAATTGAATTGTGTACAGGTTTACCTCCTTTGTTTGCACAGATTTTGATATTTAGTTCATTGATAAAAGCATTAATGTGTGTTATAAATATTGTCATTGAGACTACAGTGTAATATAGATGTTTAATAACATCATGGAGTTGAATTGTAGGCCATGGAGTATTTCTACTTGTGCATGTAATGGTAGTATTATGTGAAAAATAAATATATAAGCTAAACTAAAAATATAATAAACAAAGAAAAAAAACAAACAAACAACAAATTGTTAACAACTATCATGTGAGGACAACATTTCCATGCAATGACATGAGATTAGCAAAGCACATCCAGACAATTGTCCAAAAAGACCAACAAAAGAACTGTGTATTTTAAGAGTTTTGGAGACATTGTCAATCATCATGGAGTGAGAAGTGTTGGCTGGAATTGGCAACTTGTAATGGACTCCTATTTTGTCTTTTAAGATTATTTTTTTTTGCGGAGAAAGATGTATGATGCTCATGGGGAAACAAACATGAAGTAATCATGAAACAAACACACAAAAAAAGAGAGAGTGACAAACAAAATGTGGGTAAAGGAACAGTAGGACCACTTTTTTGCAAATGGCTAATATTAGGGCTAGAAAAAGCCCTTCATGGTTTCAAACATTCCACCAATTGGGGTGTGTCAATGGGGACAAATTCCTGTTTTTTTGTTCCTCTATTTTAGTTGAAGAAATGATGGACATTCCATTGAAATCCTCACATATTACCATGTTTAGAGAATTGGGGCATAACTTGGAGGGGGGGGGGATCTCATACATGCGTTTGGAACATGTCAAAATGAATCATGCAAGGATGAAGCCCAAGTGTATGGACCTTGGCTCCCCATCAAAAACTATTCCCTATGCGCCAAAGCTTCATTTGCTCAAAACCAAACCAAACAACTTCCCACATGATGCTACTCTTCTTCTTCTCTTTTTCGTGGACTTGTTGTCTTATTCATGTAATTGGGTTGATGATTTTATGGATGTGTTGCTCCAAGAGTATTATGGGCATTGAAACCAGTCTTCTCTCAGCTATCCTATAGTCCTTGAGGTATTAGCTTTTTTCATATGGGTAATGAGGTGGGTCTTGGGAGTACACTCAAAATTACTAACTAAAACTTGAATATTGGACAATTACAGTCCCTCAATCACAATTAGTGTAGATTATGTTGAAATCTATAACTCATACTCAATCACAATCTCTTTTTATTTTTATTTTTTTGATTTTACAATATCTTGTGTTTTGAAAGATCCTTTGAATGTAAACACGGTGTGGCTGTATATTCAAGCAGGATTGATTATAGGATCTTAGTAAGAAATTTATATAATGGTATTGTGATGCAAAAGTATGAAGGAAATTTCTTGTTATATAAATTCTCGACATAAATGTGAGAAAAAAAAAACCCAGACAAAAAATTTTCTTTTTTTCTTTCTATTATTTATTATTTATTATTTTTTTCACTTCTTTAATAGCATAGCATGGGTAGAAGATCCAGTACCCACATGGGGAACACAGACAACCCAATGGAAAGCTCATAACACATTTCCTGCCAACTCCATAACAACCACAAAATACAATAAAATAAACTGTAATAAGATGTGAAAAAGTTTGAGGGGAGCCTTGGGAACCAACCACTTTTACAGGGAACCAAAAAGTGAAAGCATGGAGTAAATGCCAAAATACTGGTACCCCAAACCCACTCAACTGCTGCCACCATTTCTAAAGGAGGAAGAAAAGAAAACAATAACTTCAAAGAGAAAAATACAAATAAAAATAAAATAATTCATAGAAAAATATAATAAGTGAGGACATATATATATATATATATATATATATATACATACATACATATGTATATCCTTGCAAAGAGCCCAACTGGAAGTCCAGAACCACCTTTTTAGTTTCTCTTCGTGCTGAGCTGGCCAATGCTGTGGACAGTGCACCATCTTTTCTTTTCCATGCCATCAAATTCCGATGGTTGGAATTTATACTTGTGACGTGGATGTCTCATAAAATGGAGACATTGTTTGTTTGTTTGCTGGTTTTTTATTTTATTTGATAGTTTTTTCTCCAACACAAATGGGGTACATCTACTGCAAAAGGCAATTAAATAAAAACAACTGGGTATCAAGAGCCATAAGACCATGTTGGCAAGACATGCTGGGGTGGGAGGCACATGACATGCATTATTCTAATATTCTAATAAAGTTTGTTGGGGCTCCTCTCTATGTTGTCCATTATGACTCTGGTATGTAGAGCTCTATTGTTTTATTTGATTTTCACCTGCATGCATTTTGTATCATATTTTGGACTATGTTCCATCCAAAATTACAAAGTTTAACATTTTTCCAGATTGTTGCATGTAATTTCCACTTCATGTGGGCCATGTGTTCTGAAATGTATACAAAATTAATTTTGTTGTTTGTTGATTGCTCCACCCATTTTTATGTCAAAAACATGAGAATTGCTATGCATTCCAATGGTCCATCTACAAATCCCCAAAATAGAGACCAGATGGTTATGAAATGTGTAGAGATCAACTGAGTCATTGCTTCATAAATTTATACATATCCATACATGTGCAAAAAGTGC